AATAATAATAATAATAATAATAATAATAATAATAATAATAATAATAACAACAACAACAACAACAACAACAACTGCCTCACTATTTGGAAATCCTGAATTTATCAGACTTGAATACCCTGATTCTATAAAAAACCACCCTACTTGGAACAGCTTATATCCTCCGACGCTACCTAAACAGTTCCTAGGTCCTTGGTTAGAACTCGAGCTGTTGAGCTACCAACCAGCCCCAAAGACTGTGAATCTCATTAAAGATTAAACAACAACAACAACAACAACAACAACAACAACAACAATAATAATAAAAGGGGGGACTAAAGAAGATAATAAGAGGAATAAATAATACTACAGCCATGCTACCTGCGTAAATACATGTAAACATATTACTCATAGATATCATGATCCTATACTATACATAGAATTCTTAGGCTTGCACATTCATCAAGCTTGATTAATGGAGACTATGTTAACAACAATAAAAAAGTAACTGGCTATTGCTATTTACTGGGAAGTTTGTGATTTTTACTTCCCAGTCTAGTCTACAATCCTGTGATTTCCTCGTGATTTTGGAAGCTAAGCAGGGACAATTCCATATAACGCTTGGATGGAAGCTGAAAATCCTGGGCTATAGGCTGAACTGGGATGTTGAAAAACAGCTTGAAAGAAGGCCTTCACACTTCCTTCCGTAATATTGCTGAAACACCATACACCAATGGGATCCCTAGGGTCAACCTCAATTGCATATAAAAGGAAAGATTTCCAATCTATTCCACTTTAGTGTGTGACTCAGAAAAGCATCATGGCATCATTAGCACTCTTGTGAGTGCAAAGAATGTAACTATCATGGTTAAAAGGTTATTTATCAGCAAAATAAAGAAAGTCATTCTTTATCCCAGTAAGAATTAAGGGGGGGTGTGTGGTGGTGGAAGAGAAAGAGAGAAAAAAGAGTTGAAGAACCATTATTTCTGTGTTTCAGTTACCGCTGAGTTGTAGCTTGAATATTAACATCCTGGTTTGCAAAATAGACCTTCTTTTATTGTGAAATCCAAAAGCTTTATTTCACTTGACAGTAATTCACAGTTTTCCTGCTAGTTAAATATTTTGTATACCAAGTTAAATGTACTGAGGTATTATTTAAGCACATTGTGATTCTGTCTATTCACCGGGAAAAAGATATGTTTTTTTGCTGCAGATAACTGCAGGAGGGAATGGGGAAGAATAAGCAGTAATGTAGGGTGCCATGTATCTATAGACTAAATAATTGGCATAAGAGAAATTTGGAAACTTCAGATGGCAAAAAGGAGCGACAGTGAATCATGGTAAACAATTGATTGGACTCAGTTTTTCCAAACAAACATTATATATAAAATCAGTTATTTAACAAGCATGAACCTGTGGAGAACCAGACTTCAGATTCTCTGAAGCATGCCATTTTTTTTTAAAAAATAAAGCAGGTCAACTTGTTTTTTTTTTTTTTTAATCAGAAAACTGTATCCTTTTCCTCCTCTTCCTCTCCCCCTCCCCCTCTTCCTCTCCTTTCTTCAACTCCAACTCAGAGGAAAACAGTTCCTCATCTCTTTAAGCAAGTGCATTTATTTATTTATTGAATTTATGTTGCCGCCTATTCACCTATGGCGACTCAAGGCGGCTTACAGAATATAAAACCACATTTAAAACAATAAGAACTAACAAAAAGAATCAAATAAATTAATATAGTACAATATAACAAAATCACCCCCAGCTCCAACTTCCCAGCCCCAGTGACAGCAGATCACACGAGCCATTTAATGGGCTCCATCCCACTCTGGGTTCCCCAGGCCTGCTGGCAGAACCAGGTCATCAGTGCCTTCCAGAAGAGTATTAGAGTGGGAGCTATTCTAATCTCTGGGGCAATGATGTTCCAGAGAAAGGGAGCCACCACAGAGAAAGCCCTTCCTCTGGGTCCCACCAGGTGTATCTCCCTTGGGGATGGGACCCGCAACATTCCTTTCCTCCCCACTCTGATGGGTCAGGTAGATGTGACTGGCAAGAGACAGTCCCCCAAATAACCTGGTCCCAAGCCATGATGGGTTTTAAAGGTGACAACCAGCACCTTGAATTGCACCCGGAAACAAACTGGGAACCAATGCGGTTTTCGCAGGAGAGGTGATACATGTTCATGTTGCGGTCTGCACAAAACCATGTGGGCTGCTGCATTTTGCACCAACTGGAGCTTCCGGGATGCTCTTCAAGGGCAGCCCCATGTAGAGCGCATTGCAATAGTCAAGATGGGAATAGTCAAGATGGCTCAGTGGAGAACCATTCTTATTCAAGAAGCTCTTTAAGGTTTGCCAAATTGCCACTATCGCCATAGAACTCAAAAAAGCACAACGGAACATTTAAGATTACTGTCCTTTCTTTCTTTCTCACTTGCTGTTTGGCATTCCTAAGGTCTTGATCTTTACCTCAGTCAGGAAAAGAAAATTGGCAAGTCTTGTGAAAAAGTTTATGAACATGGCTTCTGTATTTCTAATATAATTGGTAGCCCTAAAGCTGCAGTACAAATCACAAGCAACATGCTTAATCTTGCTTCTCTTAATGAATAGGTGAAATCTGTCATCTTAAGGCAGGGTTTCTTAGTCTCAGCAAATTTAAGACATGTGGACTTCAAATCCCAGAATTCCCCAGCCAGCCATATTAACAGCTACAGTACACGTTAACAAGTACCTCAAGTTGAGAAACACTGTCCTAAGCCAAAAAGCAAAGTTCTTATCTGTAAATAGCTGCCCCTGTCTACTTCTAGAGCTAAATTACACAAAGATGTTTTTTTTTTTTAAAGTGGTGAGCAACTGGCTTCATCTTTTCAAGGTAAAAAAGAGAAGTATTGACTTTTCTTTTGAAAAAAACAAAACAAAATTAAACTAAATACAGTACATAAATCAGTCCCAATTTCAGGCTGCAGCAGAATGAGCCAAAAGATGAAATCACTCTAAGGTGATTATTTTTCATGTCCTAACAATTCTGTGGTAAAACTTTGTAAAATAAATCCATTATTCCTAAGGATTTTTCTAATGATCAAGGAAAAGTTTGGACTATTGTCTTTACCTTATGAATGCCTATCTGGGATTCTTGCACGTTGTTCTCAGACCCATTACTTCGGCTGATCATCTGCCACAACTTTGAATACATGCTATTCTTCTCAAAAGGATTCATCCCTTTCACCCGTACATGTTCATAGACTGCAGAATCCAAAACGGTGCCGTAAGGAATATCTGTCTGCCAGGAGAGATCTTGAAGAGACCTTAAATATTAGAGGAGACAAGAAACACAAGTTATTTGATTCCATATTTCCAGGCTGTTGGCAAGCAAAGGACAGCACGTATGACAACAATTCTTAAGGCATTTTGTTTTTGTTTTTATATGACTCTTAAAAGTCAAAGCAAAACTAGGAGAACTGCCTTTATGTTTTAAGACAAAAGGGAAAGCACAGAGATAGAGGGTAAAAGAGAGAAAAGAAAAGATATTTGATTTTTCTTTTTTTAAAAAGAGACCTACAAAAATCAGGGGAGGTCAGCTTCTTTTAAAGAGTAACATAGAAGGAAAGGTTTAATATTATTTATTTCATTCATATCCTGCTTTTGAGATTTAAGGAACATGCCATTCTCAAAGTGACTCAGCATTATGATATGTTTTCTTTTTTTAAAAAATGGAAATGGTAATTGACAGTTTAAAACCTAGCATCAACCAAAAGAAAGCCAACAAAAGAAAAGAGCAAGGGTTAAAATGGATTGGTTTCATTTATCTGTCAAATGTATATGACACCCTTCCATCAGGCAGTCCTCAAGATGTCAAGCAATAACCAGAAATAGGAATCATACCATTATCATCTATTTGATTTAGCTTCTGGACATCAAAGTAAAAGCACTCCTTTAGCCCTGATGAATTACATCTCTATAAAGGTTGTTTATATCATAAACACAGCAAACCATTTCTTAAGTTACATTTCTTACATTAAAGTGCTAAAAGAGACTAAGCATCAATAAACAGGGCAAAACTGAACTTTAGTATCTCTATAATCAGAATAATTAGCTGGAGTAACATGTGAAAAATCAGCATACTGCAGGTACATAGGTATTATGAGTCTGCTGTCTGTGGGTCAACTTACAGATTCATTTATTTCAGCTTTATCTACATTAATAATGCATGCCTCCCTCCTTTCTCCATTGGCTGAAGACCCCCTTGTTAACAAATAGGCAGCAAATCCCTGGATACAACTGTAGTTGTCAACACAGCTTTATTGCTGCTACTTCTGTCGGCAAAGCCACAACAACAACAACAATTCAATGTAGTAAAATACTAGAAACATTAGTGAATAACTGAAGAAAGAAACAGCTTTCGGTAATAAAAACAAACAAAAGCATGACAAAAGCATGATTTTCTTGGGTGAAGTAGATGGGAACTCAGATCTCTGAGCATTCAAACAAGACAACTATCAGTTCACTGTCAAGAATTGATAATTGACATGTACTGCTTGGTTGTTGTTTTTTGTTTTTTACTAAAGTGAACATACAGATAGTCCTTGACCTATAACAGTTCATTTAGTGACTGTTCAAAGTTCAACAGCACTGGAAAAAAGTGACTTATGACTGTTTTTCACAGTTTTACAACCTTTGGAGCAACCCCGTGATCTTGTGATCAAAATTCAGATGCTTGGCAACTGGTTCATACTTATGACTATTGCTGTGATTATCTTTTGCAAGCTTCTGACAAGAAAGTCAATGGGGAAGCCAGATTCACTTAACAACCATATTACTTACTGAAGAACTGCAGTGATTCACTTAACAATTGTGGCAAGAAAAATCATAAAATGGGACAAAGCTGACTTAACAAATTTTTCACTTAGCAACAATTTTTTTTGGCTCAATTGTGGACTTAAGTCAAGGACTACCTGTAATCAGTTGTCTGCTAATGCTACTGGTGGAGAGCAGATAAATTACATCAGTGAAGGATTAGTATATTAAGTTTTAATATGGCCTGGTCACTGCAAGGTAATTGTGTTATGCTGAATATACAGATTTACAGATTAACAGAGTTGGAAGGGATCTTGTAGGTCATCTGACCCCACCCCCAAGCAGGAGACCCTACACCATTTATGGCAAATGGCAGTCCAATCTCTTCTTGAAAGTCTCAAGTGATGAAGCTCCCACAACTTCCAAAGGCAACTTCTGTTCCATTGGTTGATTATTTCACTGTCAGAAAATTTATCCTTATTTCTAGGTTGAATCTTTCCTGGTTCAGTTTGCATTCATTGCTTCTTGTCTTTGGGTGCTTTGGAAAACAGGTTGACCTAACCCTAACCCTAACCCTCTTTGTGGCAGCCCCTCAAATATTGGAAAACTGCTATTGTGTCTCCCCTGGTCCTTCTTAAACATGAAACCTTGTTAAACATGATTCATTTGTTATTTGTGGTAGTCATCTCTTGCAGTTAATCTGCCCATGAAGTATCTGATGTCATATTTGATGGGAACCAGAGAAAATCTAAGAGAAAAGTTGCTCCTAACATGGTAATTACTGTCTTCATCTATAGAAGGGCCATGGAAAGAAAACAATAGTGAAATAAGCATCTTCGTTAATGTTGATAGTGAGAACAATGGTAAATTATAATTGTTTGTCTTTTCTTGTAAGAAATTACATCTTTGCAACCAAGGAACTCAATTAGCTATTTTGCACAAACCAGCTCTTGCATGTTGCCAGCAATTATCACAATGAATTCTTTTGAAATAAAGGTGAGAAAGAAAAGGAAAGAAGTTACAGAAGGCTACCATTTGTCAATGTGTTCTAATCAAAGAATACAAATTAAGGTGTTTTTTTTTAAAAAAAAAATAAAACAACTCTTTGGATACCCATTAGAAGTAGTATTATTATACCTGGGAAACAAAACAAAGAAAGCTTAGAAAATGAAAGCACAATTGACAAATATTCACAGACCTTTCTGATAAATTTAGTATCATTATATATCCAGTATCACAGGGATATTGTTGTGGGGTAAATAGGAGAAGGCAAATATATCATGCATGTTTGGTGCACTGAGTTACTTACGAAATAATAAAGCCCTGGATAAAAAAACTAATAAAAAATAAAATAAAAATGCATGTAATATATTATTAAACCTCTGCATATTCAGTGAAAAGTGGAACTGCATTTGTTTAGATAAAACTTCATACTGCACGGATACAAATTTTAAGCACATATAGTAGTAAGTGTAGATTTTAAACTGCTGAATATCTCTAAACTGTACACTTATACAGTCTAAATATTCAACATCTTAACATCTTTAATCTGGTCCTTAGATCTCTCAAAAATAACTATCAAACTAGATTTTTAAAGGACAGAATTGAAAATTATTTGCTACCTCAGCAATGTCTGTCTGTCTGTCTGTCTGTCTGTCTATCTATCTATCTATCTATCTATCTATCTATCTATCTATCTATCCATCCATCTATCTATCTCTATTCTATCTATATGTCTATATCTATTTATATATCAATATCTATCTATATCCCTATATCATCTGTCTGTCTATCAATCTGTCATCTGTCTATTTATATCTGTCTATATCTATAGACAGATATAAATAGATCATATATCTATCTATATGTCTATATTTATTTAAATGTCTATCTTTATATCTAGCTATATCTATACCTATATCATCTCTCCCTCTATCTTCTCTCTCTTTCTATCTATCTCTCATCTCTTGTCTGTCTGTCTGTCTATCTATCTATCTATCTATCTATCTATCTATCTATCTATCTATCTCTACATATATACATATATATGAAGAGACACACACACATACACATACATACACACACACACACACACACACAAACACATGCAAACACACATATGAATTGTGTGGCAGTGCACTGTACACCCTCAATATTGTGAGAGACAGGTTTGCAAGATAGTCTCTACATTAGCGTTTCTCAACACTAATCTTGGAAAGCTTGGATTTCAATCCCAGAATTCCAAAGTTGCCAAGATTGAGAAGCATTGCTCTAAATGAGACAGTTTGTCATACAAGGAATAGTGCAAGCATGTATTTTGGGCTTTACTTGTGTTGTGGCATACTGTTCAAACCTGATTGATACTGTTCTTACCACTAGCAAAAAATGTTGTATATGGTTGGGTAAGATATTTGGCTAGCAACCTGCTCTATATTAAAGAATTGTATTAAAATATTATATGAAAGCCTTGATTGATTAAAGCCATGATGAGCATCGGGGCATAGACAGTATCTATGTGAAATAGGCTGTGGGTCAAAGTGTATGTGAAAGGACGATTGCTGTAAAGTAACAGAATGAGAGAAATATATTTGCCAAAAGTGTATAAGGAGAAATAGTTGCAAAGACTGAAGAAGCAACTTGGATAATCAGTTAAAGGTTTCAAACCCAAAAGAAAAGAAGACCAGTGCCATGACTCAATTTTTAAACTGTTGCAAAGGTGTAATACAAAAGGAAAAACAAAACCAAGGGACGGTTATGATTAAAAAACACTGAGAAAAAATGCAGATTATTTTGGGGAGAATTTTTTTAAAGAAGTTATTTAATTGGGTAAACAGAAGCATCCAGTAGAATATGATTAAACAAAAATGATGCAATCATTTGAAATAGGATTGAAATGGGGAAACATTGGAAGAACAATTAGTGATAGAGTTTCATTTAAATGAATGCTGTCAGTGTTAAGTGTGCAAGAAAAAAAAATGAACAGGAAGCCCTAGGACCGTGAAGATTTTGAAAAAAGGTTGCAGTTACAGATGGTATAATTTGGAAAAAGTGGAAATGCTTATGGAAACATTGTGCAATTTATTCAAATATATGTGAATCTGTACTGGATGATTGGAAGAATGAAGAAGCAGAAGTTAGTGAATGCAAAAACTTGCCAAGCCATTTAAATGTACCTGGGAAGGTATTTGTCAGAAGTCTGATCAAAAAGGGGAATTTGGGAATGTGATGTCATCCTGGAAAGATGACAATGGTAACCCATACCCTTTGTTTTGGCTGGAAAGGGTAGCGAGCCATGAGGTAACCAACACCAACAAGTTCTAGCTTACGACTCAAGAACCAAACAAAAGACAAGCAATGGGACAAAATTTTCTCATCAAAACACATTGAGTATAGCAACAGCAATAGCACTTAGACTTATATACCACTTTATAGTGCTTTACAGTCCTCTCTAAGTGGTTCACAGAGTCAGCCTATTGGCCCCAATAATTTTGGGTTCTCATTTTACCCACCT